TAAAGTTGAATTGAGAAGCAAATTTTAATCTTTTTACCAAAAAGGTATTTCTCAAAAAATTACCAGTTATATATATATAAATTAAACGCATTAACAACTGAATTGCAATTACTTAATTTTTTTTAATAATTAAAAGAAATTTGCTCTTAGCAGTAAAATGTTTTGGTTTAAATCTCTACTTCTGTCTCCTTGATAAAGACATCAAGCTTACAAGAAGTTACATTTAAGGAATTGCCATAGGGGTTAGCTTAGGAGGTGGGATATAGTACGGGAGAGAAAAAATGATTTATAAGTTTGTTAATTCAGATACTAGAAAGGACTTTTGTTCTTTGAACTTCACCTAGACTTTATTGTTAAATATACCATGCCGCCTAAGAAAAGAATGCTATGAATGCTATCATCAAGAATGTTGATCATCGATCAACTAGATCGATGGGCTGTCAACTGGATTGATAACCCTAGGGTACGAGCTTAAGAGGCAGGACGGGGGCTATAGCATAGGAGAGAAAAAAAATTATAGGGTTGTGCTTTCAAGTTGAAGAAATTACTTTTGTGCCTTTATTTTCACCTGGAATTTATTGTTAAATTTCCAATGACACCTAAGGTAGAAATCTATTCAATAAGAGCAGATTCCGTAAACTTTTCAAAAGGATCTATTCTCGATTTCTGTATCCCCGAAAAAGTACTTGATTTTACAACTTTTTAAATTCTAAGAATTGTCAACATTCCATAGCCTTAGGGTATGAGCTGAAGAGGAGGGGAAGTATAGCGTTGAGAGAAGAAATGATTTATAGGGTTACAAAAGTTATAGTTGTACAAAAGAATTTTAATCCTTTAACCACACCTGTATTCTATTGTTAAATATATAATATGTAAAGTCTATTTATTAAACAAAAGGTAAAGTGCAAAAAAGATGCTATATGTCTGACATAATTAATATAAATTGCGATTTTTACTCCCTGGAGCAAATTTCAAAGAAGAACCTATTTACAAAACACAGTATAACATGGTTAGTATGATGGTTAATATGGAGTATGTCTCCCGGACGATGCAATACAGGCTTTACAACGCCTAGGCATGCTGAGTATCAAATTATCAATCTGATCTGTGGGAATATTACACCACTCATCAAGCAATGCCCTCCGAAGTTCCGGTTGACAGGTGGGAGGGGGTTGACGGGCTGCAATTCGTCGGCCAAGCATATCCCACACATGCTCTATTGGATTCAAGTCCTGTGAGTATGCTGGCCAATCCATACGTGTGATATCCTCCAATTGAAGGCATTCGTCTACAATGTTTGCACGGTGAGGACGGGCGTTGTCCTCCATAAACAGAAATTCAGCACCCATAGCGCCCCGAAACAAACGTGCATGTTGTTCCAGAAGGACATCCCAATAGATGTGGCCTGTCATCGTTACGCTCTGCAGGTCAGTTCTGGACATGCAGTTCAGTTCTGGAACCAAGAATAATTCCTCCCCAAACGAGCCATCCTGCACCACCGTAACGGTGTCGTTCAATAGTGTTCTCTTGGTGGTAACGGGTACCTGGCGCTCTCCATATGAAAGTCCGGCGAGAATCAGACTGCAAGCTAAACCTGGACTCGTCGGAAAACATCATAACAGACCACTGTTGCGATGTCCACAATGCATGCTCTCTGCTCCAGGTTAATCGCAGGCGACAGTCAGTTGCGGTAAGTAGAACACATCTGACAGGCCTACGAGCATATAGACCAATGTGCTCTAAACGTCTGTACACGGTCTGCCTTGAAACTGCCGTATCGGTAGCTGAAGAGAGCTGACGAGACAGATCTGATGCTGCGCTCCGTCTGTTTGATTTGCCAATAACTGCTAAATACCGGTCCTCATTCGGCGTTTTAACTTGGAGGCGACCTGTGCTGTAACTTCTACTCACATTACCATCATCTTGGAACGGTTGCCAAAGCCTGGAGATGACACTCTGGGTGATTCCAAGTTCCTCGGATACTTCCAGCTGGGTACGTCCACATTCCAGTCGTCCGATAATTCTACCACGTAAAAAATTACCCAAATGCTTCCTTTGTGCCATAACTATGCGGTTATTGCACTGAAAGGCTTTTAAAGCGCTTGTGAACAATTTTACTTCTTTGCCACCATTCCTTATATATCCCTCTCTTACACTCGCGTGATTGTGACGTACTATCCGCGCCATCTGTTGGTTTCCTGTAATTTGCATATTCTTCTTCAAGATTTGTGTGATAATTCTACAGGTGAAATTTTTATTTTATATTATTTCCTTAATTTATGGACATGAGTGTACAACGCCGCTGAAGAGAGGAAAAAATATCCAATAAGATTAGAATCTACTGATTTGGTTGAAAAGGATTTATTTTCTGTCATCTTGAAGGAGAAAATATAATTTTTGTTTTCATTATTTAATTAGCATTGTTCTCTAATTAAAACTGTCATTGGCGGGGGGAATTTATGCTCTAAATTATGATATTATATATGCTATAGTGATTAACAATATAAATAATATGTTGTTTTCTAATAATTTCTTGCAAATTAAAAAAATTGTTTAAATTATATTAAACATTATTGGTTAACTTTCTCGTTGCTAAAATTTTAGTAATGTATTTTAAATTACTATGTGATTTATAATGAATTTTAATATTATTTAATGTTCTTAAGGGAGGCCGTAAGAACTTTAATAGGAACACATTTTTAAATGGTTTTAATCATAATGGAAAATATTTTAAATTTATTTTATACATATATGAATATAATTGAGAGAAAGGGTTCAATGACCTTTATTTTACTTCCGAAAGGAGAACATGGAACAAAATAAGGTTAAAAACTCTTGATTATTTTTATGCAAATCTTATGAATTCATATTTCTGATATGCAAATGACTCAATAAATTTAATTTTATAAATCGCAGAACACAACGTTGTAAGTGTTAGTTTTAAATAGAATGAACATATCATAAGGCGATTCGCGGTCTCTGCATTCCTTATTTAAGATATGACATTTATACTGTAAAGAAAATTGTTCGCGAAAATCGTTGCTGTGGTAAAAATTTGGATTGCAGCGTGAAATATACAGAAATATAAAGGCAAATGAATAATGCAGAATCATGAAGCATAATATTCAAATATTGATTATAATATTTTCTAGATATATATCTTTCTTTGAGCCAGTCCCATTATTTAATAAACAAAGCTCGTATATTTCAGTTCAACTAACACAGTGCGGTTACCAACACAATAAATTTTTTAAAGCGTAAATTCAGTTTATATAAAATAATTTATACATAAAAAAATATAAGAATGAAATGTTTAAAGCCATTTAAAAAAGAAGTTGTTGAAAACATTTGCGCTAATGAAAAAATCGCAATCTAATTTTTCTTAAGAAAAAATGAAATTTCTTTTATGATCTCTGTTTTTTTTTTTTTTTTTTTATTTTTTTTTTTTTTTTTTTGCTAAACGAATTATGCTAATCTATAACCTTGCCTGATATTAATCATAATGTACCTTCATTTCCAAATATTCGATATTTTAAACACTGTTAGAGCAAATAATCTGTAGCAAACCCTTCAAAATTTATATTATATTTAACCACTAATAAAAAGAGAATTCTGCTAAACAGTCAAAATGCAGCCATATTCATTCAAGATTATCAATTAAAATATTATTCCACTTTTCCTGCTTAATCCTTGTCAGGGCTTACAAGACTAAAGTTGATTGAATATATATTATGAGAACTCAGATATGTTTTTTTCTTCTTTAAACCAGTTTAATTTTTATATACAAGAAATCAGTTGTTTAACAGATAAAAAAGAGTGAAAGTATTTAAAAGAAAGTGCAAGTAAATTATATGTTTATTAATTTATTATTATTATTATTTAATTTATTATTTTATTTTTATTATTATATATTATTAAATTAAATGTTTATTTAAATTGTGTTTATTAATTATATCTTTCTTGCTTATGAAGTAATCTATCGTCTTTTCTAAATTGAAATATCTAGATATTTCTTTTATTCTAAATAAAAAGTCATAGATATTAAAATGTATGACAATTTTTAAATAATTTCATATTGTTAAAAAAATTTTCAAAGATATTGACACACTAAATAACATTTTCTATAGTATTTATAAGATTAGTATTTCATAGTTAATAGATTAGTTTTAGATGTATTAAACAAATTTTACAATTTATGCAAAATTTATTATTCGAAAAAAAACACGATAACTATAAAATTAAAATAGCATGACTACTTTATTAAAACTTAATAAAGATTTATTTATACTAAACAAAGGTGCATCATATCTTTTTATTATTATTGTTTATCCATTTATTACTATTATTGCTTTGTTTATTGTTTGTCCATTATATGTTTTTATTATTATTATTGTTGAAAATAAAATTGTGTAACTTTATTGCATTCAATTAAATATTTAAATGCATATCTACGTCTGCAATTTAATATTTCGAAAATACATAAACATTTTCCGAAATGCTCAACATAAATCAAGTTAGAACATTTTTCAAACATATTTTTAAATTATTTATTCACAAATAAATTACTACCTTCTTTAACATATTTTTTTCAAAGGAATCGAATAACTGAGAATTTAATGAATCAAATCTTCTCCAACTTTTAGTTAAAGCCCTTAATAAGTTCTAACACTGAACCATTTTAAAGAATAGCTACTAGACCGTTGGAACTCCAGTGTCCATGGCATATAGTTGACAAGTTGTTTTCTGTGCAAATAATTTAAATTAAATTAATTTTGTTTATTGTATTAGCTTAGAGGATTTTTGAAATTTTTAAATTGATAATTATTTTATGTTAATTTTTTCTTGCATCATCCTTTACTCATACATTATAAATTATAATTTAATGCATGTGAAAAAAATTTATTGATTAAAAAGAAAATTCAATATTTTTCGTTGATTTTTTAAAAAAACACTTTTGCTAAATTAATAATTATTTTTTTAAATTATTCATTATATAGCCAATGGCCATACCATGCTGAATATACCGGTTCTCGTTAGATCACCGAAGTCAAGCATCATTGGGCGCGGTCAGTACTTTATGACCACCTGGGACCACCGCGTGCCGTTGGCATTCACAAATTTGGGACCTGAATGGCCGAGTGTCTAGCGCTCTGGCGCTCGGTGCCACATGTTTCGGGTTCGAATCCCGGCTGTGCCATGGATGTTTATAGTGGTTCGGAATCCACTTTAAGCCGTAGGTCCTGGTCTCTTATGATTGTAAGAGCGTTACGGAGCAGAAGTCAGACTTCTACCTAAGGGTGCTCCATCAGAACAGAAGCTGCACCCCTCTCTCCTACTTCCGTGAGGGACACGACCACAACAACAGCAAATTATTCATTCCCAAATCAATTACCAATTTCATTTAACACATTTTAAAAATTGAATTGAATAATTGAGATTTTAATGAATCGAATCTTTTCCAACTTCTAGCTACAAGCCTTAATAAGATCTAATCCCAGTGTACGTGGTATACGGTTGGCAAATTATTTGTTATACGAACAAATTAATTAAATATATACTTTGTGATTGTATCGATTTAGATGATTTTGAAATTTTTTAATTCATAATTATTTTATGACAATATTTCATGCATTATTCTTTACTCATATATTATAAATTATAATTTAATGCATTTGTAAAAAATTATTGATTAAAAAGAAAATTCGATATTTACCGATAACATTCGATGTTTCGAAAAAAAAAAAAAAACGTTTGCTAATCGAAAATATAATTTTTCAATTTTCAACCCCCAGCGGTGAACGTCAAAATTCGCTGGAATTAATTTTCTGTAAGCATCCTCTCTATTTTTAATGAAATTTGCTGTTTGAACACCTGCAATTGTATTTTGGAGAAACCGTCATTGAGAAAAGGTCGACAGGAATAGCAAAAGAATAATTATTTTGGTGAAAGGAAACTATTCGCAGGTGTGGTCAGGAGACCTTTCCCCACGGTACAAAGTCCAACCTCTGTCGGTACCGCCTCGCATTCCAAAAGTGGAGTAGACATTTTCACAAACAAATCATATTAATATATACATTACACTAAAGCTATTGAAATATAACAAAATGAAGAATAACTTTATACTACACATTTAAAAAGTTTTTAACTATATGTCGACACGACATCGAATTTTTTTTAATCCACTTATTAATCTACTGTTTTATGTTATTTATTATACTATATTATCGGATTTATTTTTTGTGTTAGGCTGGATTAAAACGTAAAACTGTATTAATTATTTTATATATGTATATAATAATATTAAAAACATATACATAGCATAAACATATACATTTAAAAATATATATATATATATATATATATATATATATATATATATATTATTATATTTAATATTTAACATTAAAATTTAAAATTTTTCATTAAACATAAATTCCTTCTTTAAGCTAAAATTCAAAGTCATGTAGCATCTTCATTACGTATTTGTGAATTTCATTACTAAAAAGTGCATCTAATAATTTACTATTTATGTATTATTTTACTTTGTTAATAGTCCGCATTAAGTTTACGAGTGTTCGATTTAAATATTAAATATCATAATTTTTTCAATTAGTACATAATTCCATTCTTTTAAAATTTCATTGTAGTAAAATATTGAAATAAATTGATGTAAATTCCTCTTAAAAAGTTAATAGAATGTTTAGTGAATTCATTGGCCTGTATTTATTTTATTATGACTCGTTATCTTAAAATAATTTAGGTTCGAGTTTAAGAAAACTGAAAGGCTGTTTTAAACTCAATTAATTCAGCTTGGAAATTGTAATTGTTTTTGGAATGGTTTCCTTCCGATTGTGAATTAGTTTTTCAAAAATCTGTCACTTTCGTTCAGCAAGGGAATAATACGATGAAGATAATTAAACAAATGTAAATTTAAATTAAAATTGTCATGCTGCCCCTAAACTAAATATAATATTGAACATATAACATTTAATTAACATACAATTCTTAATTTTATTATTTATGTTACCTTTATATAAATATATTTATGTTTATTTTAGCATTTACTGTTATGTTAATATTTTAAATTACATTTATAATTGTATATTATATTGTTACATTTATTAAATTAAGATGTAGAAATTTATACCAAGTTATTTATATTCAAATATCACGCAAATTAAAATTACATACTCCACAATAAACAGACAGATCACGAAATCCAAAGGAAAAACTGAGCCACTTTGCTAATTACATGATTGAATAACATGATGTTCTACAAATAGATCTTCGCGAGAAAGTAGTTAGAGGTCGCTGCGAAAATAAGGTACTCCGTGGAAATATACAAATCTCTCATTTTCATCCTTTTTAACCAAGCGAATCATTAGTTTTGCTTTAAATTTAAAATTCTTCCCCTGCATAGTTCATTTTTAAAGTCTTTTGACGTAGCTTATACTTGCAGGGGCAAGTGTAGAGATTATTTACCCTCGTATTCAAACTCCGTTGGGAGGGGAGTGACACAACAGGGTTTAATGGGACAGTTGAATGGGAAGTTTGAAATGGATGGATTTCCTCTTTATTGAAGCAAATGCAATAGAAAAGACCTCTACCGCGGAGAATTTGTGGAATTTGTAAACTCTCGGAAAATGCTTGAATTCAACTTGAAGTGTATTTGACTTAATCTTTGTTGAACTACTTCCATGTTATAAACTTCAGTTCAGAGTTTATGAAAATTCGGGTGATGAAAACATTTAATTCGTCTACCTACCTAAATGCACGTTCATAAAATTTACAATAAATTTTTTATCAGTAGCAGGAAAAGATTTAACAGATCATTAAATAAATTCCAATTAATTTTAATATTATTTAAAAAAACAGATCCAATTTGATCGAAAAGAGAAATTATGTTT